AGACCTACATAAATGGGGAAACATACCATGCTCATGGATAGGAAGATTTAACATTGTGAAAATGTCAATACTACCCAAAATGATTTATAGATATAATGCAATCCTGATCTAAATTCCAACAGCATTCTTTAATGAGATGGAAAAACTCATCACCAACTTTATATGGAAAGGAAAGAGGCCCCAGATAAGTAAATCATTACTGAAGAAGAAGAACAAAGTAGGAGGCCTCACACTACCTGATCACAAAACCTACTATACAGCCACGGGAATCAAAACAGCCTGGTACTGGTACAACGACAAACACATAGACCAATAGAACAGAATTGAGAACCCAGAACATAAATCCATCCACCTATGGACAGCTGATCTTTGACAAAGGCCAAAGTCCATTAAATAGGGAAGAGACAGTCTCTTTAACAGCTGGCAAAACTGGATATTTATCTGTAGAAAAATGAAACAGGACCTATACCTCACACTGTAAACAAAAACTAACTCAAAATGGATCAAAGACCTAAATATAAAACTTAAAACTATAAGGATCATGGAAGAAAAAATAGGGACAATGCTAGGAGCCCCGATATATGGCATAAATAGAATACCAAACATAACTAAAAATGCACATACAGCAGAAGGTAAACTAAATAAATGGGACCTCCTAAAAATTAAACACTTATGCTCATCAAAAAACTTCTCCAAAAGAGTCAAAAGAGAACCTACAGCCTGGGAAAAATTTTTTGGCTACAACATATCCAACAAGGGTCTAGTCTCTAAAATTTTTAGAAAACTTCACCACTTCAACAACAAAAAGACAAACAATTCATTTAAAAAATGGGCAAAGGATATGAACAGACACTTCACCAAAGAAGACATTCAAACACATGAAGAAATGCTTGTGATCATTAGCCATTGTTGTTGTTGTTGTTAGGTGCCATTGAGTCAGTTCCAAGTTATAGCAACCATATAGGACAGAGTAGAACTGCCCCATAGTGTTTCCAAGGAGCGGCTGGTAGATATGAACTGCTGACCTTTTGGTTAGCAGCCAAGCTCTTAACCATTACACCACCAGGAGTCCATTTCATTAGCCATTAGAGATATGCAAATCAAAACTACAATGAGATAGCATCTCATCCCAACAATAATGGCACTAATAAAAAAACAGAAAATAAGAAATGTTGGCAAGGTTGTGGGGAGATTGGAACTCTTATACCCCACTGGTGGGAATGTAAAAGGGTACAACCACTATGGAAAATGATATGGTGCTTCCTTAAAAAGCTAGAAATAGAAATGCCATATGATACAGCAATCCCACTCCTACGTATATACCCTAAAGCATAAGAGCTATGACACAAATGGACATATGCACACCCATGTTCACTGCAGCATTATTCACAACAGCACAAAGATGGAAACAACCTAAGTGCCTATCAACAGATGAATGGATAAACAAACTGTGGGACATACACACAACAGAATACTACACAACAATAAAGAATAATGAATCCAAGAAATGTCTCACAATACAGATGAATTTGGAAGACATTACGCTGAGTGAAATAAATCAATCACAAAAGGACAAATGTTGTATGAGACCACTATTATTTAAAAAAGAAAGAAAACGTTTACACACAGGAAAAATATTATTTAATGGTTACCAGCGATGGGACGGGGAGGGAAGAAAAATTACTAATTAGATGGAAGACACATGTTAATACTGGTGAAGGGAAAGGCAATACTCAATATGGGGGAAGTCAGCACAACATGACCAATGCAAAGGAAGACACTGAGAGGAATGCAAGAATAAAGGGCAACTACGGTAACTACTATAGCATAGACAATCCTGCAACAGTTGTATTGACAAACAATAATTTACATATGGATACAGAGGTAGATAGGTATGCGAAAGAGGTGTGGGAGAGTGTGAGGGAGGACACCCACCTGCAGATATAGGTTTGGTTGTGGATGTTTCTACATACATAATTGTAGGTGGTACATGTATATTAATATAGACAATAGCGCACACAAGGGTCACTGTCATGGAAACTTCTTAGATATAACCAAACACCTCACGGGACAAAGTTTCTAAGCTCAAAGGTGAAGGACCATAGACTAGGGGGACATCTATGTCAATGGGCACAACACAGTACCTAAAAACAATGTTCTGCATCCTACTTTGGTGAGTAGCATCAGGGTCTTAAAACTTGTGAGCAGGCATTTAAGATACATCTAGTGGTCTCTTCCTGTCTTGATCAAAGGAAAGTGAAGAAAACCAAAGACACAAGGGAGCAATTAGTCTAAAGAACTAATGGATCCCATGAACCACAGCCTACATGACCCTGAGACCAGATGAACTCGATGGTGCCTGGCTACCATGACCCACCACCCTGATTGGGATCAAAAGAGAAGGCCCTGGACAGAGTGGAAGAAAAATGTAGAACAAAAAATCAAATTCACAAAAAAAGACCAGACTTACTGGTCTGACAGAGATTGGAGTAACCCTGAAGACTATGGCCCTAAGACACCCTTCTGATCTGGAACTGAAGCCATTCCCAGAGACCACTTTTCAGCCAAACCATAGACAAAAAAACCAAAGCCAAACTTGTTACCACCGAGTCAATTCCAACTCATAGCGACCCATAAAACAAACAATAACAGCCGAGAGGAACGTGTTCCTTAGAACAATCAATTAAACAAGCTCCAAAGGACATTTGCCCAAAAGCAAAGATGAGAAGGCAGAAAGGAGTAGAAAATCCTGACGAAAGGCAACAGGAGCCCAGGACGGAAATGAGGAGAGTGCTGACTCTGTGGTGTATGCACCCAACGTCATGGAACACTATATGTACAAACTATCGAACGGGAAACTAATTTGCTCTGTAAACTTTCACCTAACCAAAACCCGTAGCCATCGAGTTGATTCCAACTCATAGCAACCCTACAGCACAATAAAAAAAATTTTTTAATAAATAAATAAAACAGATCCAGTGGCCTCCACATCTCAGAACCTCTCACCAATGGGCTTGGAACAGGCTGTATAAGTTCAATTCCCACCAATGCTTCCCACCATTACTAGCCCCCGCTTCTCCTCATGATTCTTTTTGTTATTCTTCCTCCCTCCCCCTATTCCAGTAAGACTGACTAAAGTTTCTCCTTGGAGGGTGGCAGAACAAATTGATAACCCTCAAGGACTAGTATTAACTCATCTGCGACGTGACAATCACGACTAACGGTGCCAGATAACCTTCAAGGATTGCCAATAAGAAGTTAGATCATCTGGGACGTGCAGAATGTGACCACCGGAAGAGAAACTATAACTCTGTTCATATAAAAACTTTCAGCCAGTCTCCAGTCAAGGAGACAGGTTTTCCGGAGGAGCTGAGTCCCCTCTGTCTCCTGTATATCGATATACAATAAAACCCTCTTGCCGCTCACCTCACCCCTTCTGAGTATCGGCTTTTGGGGCAGGTGGCTCAGATCCGCGATTTGCAGTAACAGGCTCAGAGGTAGACAGAAGACGACTAGATAAACGGAAGTAATTGTAGAAGAGCCCTGGACACTCAGTAAATCATCAGAAATGCATCTTAATTGCCCCCTGGGCTGTTCCTGGGCCCCACTCATTGTCACGGGGTACCTAGAGCGCCCACTCACAGATCCTGAAGGTGGTTACAAATCCATTCGGGTGTGCCCCTCTTTAAGTAAACTCAGCCAATTACCATTCATATTTATGAGAAGTAAGTTGAGGGGAGGTTGCTAATTCAATTTTGGTCTTTAAAATGGTCATAACCTTTGATTCAAATAATTCTACTTAAAGGAAATAGGAATATGAAAAAAGATGCTTTTGCAAAAATATTCATCACAGTTATTATTAATAGCAAAAAAGAGAGAGTAAACACACAAATGTCCAGCAATAGGAGATACAGTTAGAGGAACATCAGAACTTTTTTATATTAGCTATTACTCCCTGCTGTCAAGTCAATTCTGACTCATGATGACCCCACGTGTGTCAGAGTAGAACTATGCTCCGCAGGGTTTCCAATGGCTAATTTTTTAGATGTAGATTGCCAGGCTTTTCTTTCAAGGTGCCTCTGAGTGGACTCGAACTGCCAACCTTTAGGTTAACATTGTCAGCTATCACAGAGTCATTTAAAACTGTGTTATATGAATCACGACATGGGAAGATACTCATATATAGTTTAAGAGAAAAAAACATATTACGAAACCATACATAATATTCTAATTTTGAAACATACAATATTATTATAATTATAAATAACAAAAAAGAATAAAAATGTATACCCTAATACATTAATAGTGGTTATATTGAATGATAGCACTATGGATGGTTTTCTTTTCTTTGCTTTATGTTTTACTGTATTTTCTGATTTTTCTCAACAAACATACATTGTATCATCAAGGAAAATCATCTTATAAAAATGTTACATGTCATACATAATTATGTAAATAAATATATGGGACTTATTGCTTTATAAATGATTTTCTGCAGGTCCTTTTTATGTTATTTTTACATTTACATCATAATATACATTATTTGAAAAAAATTAAACAATATAGACATGTATAAAATAAAAAGAAAGCCTGCACAACCTCACTCTACCATCTCTTCAAATCCCAACCCTCACAACTAATTAATATGATTATTTTGGTAAATATTCTGCAAAACCCTTTTCTGTGACCATCCAAACATTTTTATTTAACTACTCAACTTACTCATATTTTTTTATGTAAATAAGATCGCAATATACTGTTCTGAAATTTAGATATTTCACAGAACAAATTGTCACGGCCATCTTTCTGTATCAGTATATTTCAGTCTACCTCTGTTTCTTCATGGTTGTACAGTGTTCCAGAGTATATAGTTGGGTTGTCATTTATTTGCCCTTTGCCCTGTCTTTCATTTTTCCGTTCTACTAGGTTGCCTAAACACCCTTATGCTTGTATCTTTGTGAGTACAAGACAGGTCTCTAAAAGTAATATTGAGTATGAGCTTTAAAAAAAAAAAAAAAAAAAGCTGTGGCTTTTGCTACTTTGTCCTTCAAAAAGCCTGTATTGGTTTTTTGGTAAATGGTATTCTTTAAATAAGAGTCCAAGTGTCAACAAACAGACTGAGGAATTCCAGGTCCATCTGGTGCAGTCCCTTTATTTTATACATAAGCTGAGGCTCAGAAAGGGGGAGAGTCAGCCCCAGGCGCAGAGCCAGTCAGGGGCTGAGCCAGGACTGATGCCTGGATCCTCCAACTTCTAGATCCTTCTCACTTGGGGTAACACAGCAGTTGCATTAACAGGACCCTGAAGTCTTTGCCCTCACTCTTTCCTCAGCCTGGAAAACTCCTACTCAGCCTTCACGTCTCAGCCTGGATGTCAACTCCTCCAGGTAGCCTTCCCTGACTTTGCCAGAGGCTGGATTGGACACATCTCCTCCTGCTGCTCGGTACAGTGCTTCTCCTGCTCGGCACACGCCCTTCTCACACTGTGTCCCAGATGCCTGTCAGGTGGTCTCCCCACTAGACTGGGAGTGCCAGGCAGGGGAGAGGAGTGAGAGGAAGTGGGGGAGAGTGGAGCAGGAGCACTGGTGTATGTGTGTGCTTGTCAATCTGGTTCAAGTGCCCATGCTGAAAGCTTCCCTGTCATTCATTCAGTCACTTATTCAAAAAACAGCGTTGTGCCTATGGTGCTGGATGCTGGGGAGAGAATAATGAAAAATAATAAATTGAATAAATTAAAAAAGAAGAGGAAGGAAAGCTTCAAGGAAGCTTCCGACAAGTTCCAGGGGGCTTTAGAAACACAGAACACTGATCTGAAGGGCTGGGAGAGCATAGTGCTCTGAAACCTCACATGCTGAAGACCTACTATGTGCCAGGCAGCCTACTAAGTGCTTCTTTCCACAGGTGTGATCAGCCAGCCCTCCTCACAACACCCCCTCAAGACGGGCTCTGTTCTGCCCGTTTTACAGAAGCGGATCTGGGGATCTGAGGCCCTGAGAGCCAGGGTAGGGGGACCAACTGAGTCTGTTGGCATCCTTGGCGCCCGCACTCTCTGCAACACAACAAAACCCCTGAAAGGGCAGGGGAAGCACCAGCCTGTGAAGACAGAGGCCGTGCTGGGGAAAGGGCCGCTGTGGGCTAGGAGACCTGGGGGCCCAGTGTGAACTTCCCTGTTAGCTGTGGGCCTTGAGGAATCCACCTAACCTCTGGGATCCTCAGTTATTTCATCTGAACAATGGGCTTGGTTAACACCTGTCCTACACTATCTCCCAGGTGACCTTATTTTCTCAGCCAAAAACTGCGCCCTGTGGTCTAACAAGTCCAGTCTTACTTACAGGAACAACAGGAACGAAAACGTAAGTGGAGAGTGCTGGGGGCCAAGGGCTGTGGGCTTCGTGATCCACACATGAGCTGTGGGGAGGTCTGCTTGGGCCCGGGAGAGGGCTCAGGTGGACAAGGGCCGGTCAACTCATTCCAGGGACATCTGCAGGGACCTGTGAGGAGACTGGGTGTGGACAAGGCCTGAGATGGAGCAGCCCTCACACTGAAGTGGGGAGGAGCGCATGGGTTACAAGCCCGCATACTCATCATCACAGGCCCTGCAGAGGCCCTGCCAACTTAAATACAGAGGAAGATAATGAGACTCAGAAAGGGGGCGTGACTCGCCCGAGGTCACCCACTGAGTCAGAATTTGAAGCGGGCTTCTGGACTGCCAAATCCTACACTCACTGAAATTGATAATCTTATCAACTCTTGGAGTGCCTACTATGAGCCAGGCCTGTGCTATGCTCTTTACACGGTTATTCTGCTTCACCTTCAAACAATCACATTTACAGATGAGGAACTTAGGTAGCTTGCTTGAGGAAGGTACTCAAGGTTTCACCACAGGGATTTGAGACTAGGGTTATCTGATGCCAAGACTGAGCTTTAGGATTCAAACCTGCCCTAGGAAGGGGCTGGGAAAGGGCGGCCAGGAGGTCCCCTACCCTTCCTTGCAAGCCAGAATACAGCTGTATCCTGGGCGACCTAGAATCCTCTGCCCTCCCTCAAAAGCCCCCAGCACTTGACACCCTCTCGCAGAGGCCAAAACGCCAAACCCTCCAAGTCCCAGAAGAGAGAATTCCCCCACCTCCAACAGGAGCCGTGGGCAGGCAGCCCGCCCTCATGTCCTGTTCCCAGAACAAGGGAACTGGCCTCAGGAGCACCCAACACTTTCATTTTACAAATGAGCAAACTGAGGCCCAGAGCATGGCGTGGACTCGCCCAGGGTCACACAGCAAATCTGGGCAGAGTGGGACTCAAAGTCAGGTCCCTGCCCCGGCCAGGGCCCCTCTGGCGCCCCTGACCCTCGACTGCCTAGTTTAGATCTTATATCCTTCCTTCTCCCCTCTTCCCATGCCCCACGAATGATCTGACTGGGTAAGGGCAAAGCTGGGGAAGAGGATGCAAACCCTGCTCCCCTGGGCGCGCCCCCAAGGCTGCCAAGTAGACGTTTTCAAGGATTTAGGTCACTGATTCACTCAACAAACAAATACCCGCAGAGCAGAGGCACCGCCCACCACCCCAGGGTCTTTGGGAAACATTTCCGATTCATTCATTCATTCAACAGATACTGAGGTCCTACTCTGCACTATACACACTTCTCGGCCTCCTCCCTCTCCTCTAGCTGCTCTACCCCCTCCCCCCAGTTTCACCACCCACTGCCCCTCACCCCCACAGATCCCCAGGGGCCCCTTTGCCTGGCAAAGAGGGAAACCTGGAGGCTCGCTCTGTGGCTCCCAGAGCCCAGAGGAGCTGAGGGAGCCTGGACTGACCCTCAGACAGGCCCATGCACCCCATGGTTACCTGTTGTGGGCCAAGGCAGCACAGGCAGACACCTCTCCCGAGGAGGCCAAGGAGGTACTGAGGCCCTGCCTGGGGGCTCGACCCCCCACCCTGGGGCCTCCACCTAGGCCAGCTGCATGGAAAACCCAGCCCGGGCTCAGCTGACTTCCTCTTGTGTCATGGAAAATGCGGCTGATGAGGACAGGAAACCCCCACCAGGATCTGGGGCCCGAAGGAGACAGTGGGCTTGGAGGCCTGGGAGGGGTGGGAGGGGCAAGACCGCACGGGTAACTAATAGGGGGCAGGGGTGGAGGGCACGAGGGAGCCTAGAACCTAGAAAGAGGGCGGGAGGGTGCTGAGGAAGAGGCTTTAGAAGTGTAGCCGACCCCTGCACTGGATGGGGGCAGGCACCAAGCCCCAGGGACCAGGAAGGCAGCTACCAGACACCCTGGGTGTCTTTCAATTTCCCAAAAAGAAACTAATGAACAAAAAAGAATAGAAACTGTACCCTTGCCTGTGATGAAGACTCAAAGATCGAATAAAAAGCAGGGTTTTTTTTTTTTTGGGTCTTGGTTTTGTTTTGGTAGCCTGGCAAAGGGAGAGCTGCCAGAGCTGTGGAGGCAGAGAAATGTGGTCCATATCTCAGTTTGGGCCGCCACTTACCAGCTGTTTGACCTCCTGGGGCCAAGGACTTTTTTTTTTCCCCCTGAGCCTCAGTTTCTTTATCTGTGAAATGGAAAACTCAGCCCACTTCCCATGATGGCTGGAAGATTAAATGGGGTGCTGCCCCTGGCTGGTGGTAAGCGCTCAAGAAAAATCCCTTTTCTCTGCAGTTACGTAAACGATGCAATTATCGCATAATTATGCAATTACAGCAACAGGAGTTAATGAAAGACCACTTGATACACGAAGCTGGTACAACAAATAAAAGCTTTGTAAACACTGCATCTTCAAGAGAAAAATAATTCAGAGAGGTCCTTGGAGCATAAGCCGGGCAGGGACCATGTTTGAATGGCTTAGCATGGAGCAAATATTTGCTGAATGAATGAATGAAGAGGCTGGGATTTCCAGAGCTGAAGGACAAGGCAGGATGGGATGTGGTGTCAGGGGCCAGGATGGGCTTCTGGCAAGGAAATGGGCCAGGCCTGGCTGGGGAAGGGCTGGCTGAGGCCCCCCATCCCAGGCTGAGGCAGCACTTCTCTGGACGGAGGGGCCGCAGCATGGCCTTGCCCTGCACGAGGTGGTACACTTTGATTCGTGGCCTCCAGCCCTCAGCTTCACAGTGTCTGGGAAGTGTTGAACGCCAGGAGCCATGGGGTGCTGTTGGGGGATGCTGTGGGATGCTCTGAGGCACTCTCGGCAGCGCAGGAGAGAGAGGCCAGGGCCAGCCTTGGAGGACCTTGTGCAGGGAAGGGGCATTAACACCCAGCCCTCGCAGCCCTCGCCAGGTCCCTGAACCAGGGACAGATTACCCAGTAAGCAAGGTAAGCTTGTGCTTAGGGCATCAACAAAACAGGGGCACCAGAACTTTACACTGATTGTTGAAACAGCTAAGTTAACTGACTCATTTTCTTTGTTGTAGAAACACGTGGAATATTCTTTTTGTAGAAAATGTGGTACACAGTAACAATCTTACTGCCCTGTATTCACTAAAAGTTTTATAATCTAGTTCATCTCATTCAGCTAAAATGGCATATGCTAGTTTTGCATTCAATTGCTAATATTATAGTTGCATTTAAAAAGAAGCTTTATCATAGATAGCTAAGACACACACACACATACATATACATGTATATGTGTAACTCACATATCCCTTCTGAATGCATGGGCAAGCCAAGGAGGGGCACCACAGATTATCGATGTTTAGGGCCCTCATGTACCTTAATCAGCCCTGCCTTAAACAGTTTCACACCAGCCTGGGATGGCCTAGATGATAAGAAACCCCAAGGAGCCTGGGTCTGAGCTTCTGTCTCCCCCATACTGGGGAGAACACAGACACACACACACGCAGATGGAGATCACACACACACACTGACACGGAGATCACACACACAGACACAGAGATCACAGACACACACACTGACATGGAGATCACACAATGGCACGGAGATCACACAATGGCACGGAGATCACACGATGGCACGGAGATCACACACTGACGTGGAGATCACACACACTGACGTGCAGATCACACACACACTGACGTGGAGATCACACAATGGCAGGGAGATCACACACTGATTTGGAGATCACACACACACGCATATCTACATGGAGGTCACGTGTAGATGTGCACGCACACACACATTCTGACACATGCCCTGCATCCATGGAGGAACCATCTCCTGTGCCTGCTGGTAGATAACACCTGTGGGAATTTGCCTCAAACTTCCTACTTCATCCCCATAAAGGGAAGTGGACAGCTTTGTTTTGATTTTTCGTCACTGAGTCTGCAGCCAGAACTAACGCCATGTGCTCCACTTCACACCCCTCAGCACCCCAGCACAGCTCAGAGCCTACCAGTGGGACCCCTGCCTCCTGGATGTCTCCCCCTCCCATCAGGCCGCTGGGGCCAGGCCTTCTCCCTCCCATAACCCCTAGATCAGGGGCCCCCCCGGTGCCCTCAGATTCCCTGTCCACATCCCAGTATAGTGGTCAGAAGGCACTGCCCCAGCCCTGGGCACCGCAGGCAGGAAGGTGACAGAGGCCAGAGCCACCACTCGAACTGGGACAGGTGGTTTTGCCAGGAGGAAGTTGACAGTTCAGCTTCAAACACAGTGACGCAGGCCCCATGGTGCCTGCTCCCCCATCCCACGCCTGCCCACGCCTGCTCGCCCCACCCCCTCCTGAGAGCGAGACACCAGGCCAGACACCCTCACCTACGGGTGCTGAGCTGGCTGAGGCTGAAGCAGGAGGAGGTTGCGCCCATGGGGTCCCAACAACCACCACTGACCACCGTGTACCTGCTGGGGGTGCTAGGTGAGTACCCCTGTGGGGCATCTGCAGGGAACCTGGGCTCAGGGTATCAGGGGGAGATCCCGTTTTCCCTGGGTCTGACTCTTTGGAGAGTCATGGAGGGTTGGGGCCCCTGGAGCCCTGTCTGCTCCTAGCCCCAGCTTCTCTCATACTGCTGAGGCCCTCACTGCACCTACCAGCAGTGACCTCAGCCATAGGAGACAGGATCGGCGTTAAAATCAGACTCCAGACCTAGGACTCAACTCGCCCCACCCATCCAATACTGCTCCCCCTGCAGCATCCCCAACTGTGGCCCCAGCTTTTCTTGGAGGCCTCCAGGGACGGGGAACTCGCCATCTCCCAGAGCAGCTCTGATGATGCCGAGCAGAGTGGGTTGGAGCAGGGTGGAGACGCCTCTGAGAACACAGCAGTGCAAATATTAGGAACGTACTCGGAGCTCTTAGGCCCTCTCACACACCAGCCCTGGGTCCAGCTGAGAGGGGGTTCAGCCAGGCCCCCGGCAAGGGGCCAGAACCCCGTTCTCATCCCTGTGGACCACGGTGGAAATGCCCCAGGGCAAGGTCATGGGTGAGGTGAGTCTGGGCTCCTGTTTGTTTGGGAGAAGGTAGCGATAGCTGAGGGTCTTCCCATCCCCAAGAACCTGGGATGCCAGCGCAGGACTGGGTGCCTGATGCTGGGGCCAGTAGGGAGGGCCTAGGGCAGGCCAGGGAAGAAGTGGGTGTTGTGGCCAGGGTGTGGGGGGGTGGGGTGAGCCTTGGGTGCTACACCTGGCCCTGTGTGACCTGGGACAGGTACCAGAGCCCTTCCAGGTGGAGGTATCCCAGTCGATAAGAGGGGGTGGACTGGGTGAGATGCAACTGCTTCCCCATGGGTGTGGAAGATGTGGCAGGAGAGAGAGGTGCTCCACTCCCAGGTGAGAACAGGTGGGCTCAAAGGGAATGAACAGCTTCCCAGAGTGGAGGGAGAGGACTTAGGGGGCATTGGCTGTCTGAGTGGGGAGCCCCTGTCCCCACCTAGAGAAGCCAGGTCTGTGTATAAGCATGAGCGTGTGTGTGAGGGTGTGTGGTGTGTATGGATGTGAGTGTGTTATAAGTGCGTGAGTGCATGTGGGTTTGTATGAGCATGTATGTGAGTTTGTGAGAGCATGTGTGTGAGTGTGCGTGAGTCTGTGTGTGTCTGTGTGTTGTTTTCATTGTTGTTAAGTGCCGTCAGGTCAGTTCCGACTCACAGTGACCCTCTGTACAACAGAACGAAACACTGCCTGGTTCTATGCCATCCTCACAATCGCTGCTGTTTAAGCCCATTGCTGTAGCCCCTGTGTCAGACCATCTTGTCGAGGGTCTTTCTCTTTTTCACTGATCCTCTACTTTACCAAGCATGATGTCCTTCTCCAGGGCCTGGTCCCTCCTAATAACATGTCCAAAATTCGTGAGACCACATCTTATCCTCACTTCGAAGGAGCATTCTGGCTGTATTTCTTCCAAGACAGATTTGTTTGTTCTTCCAGCCGTCCGTGGTATATTCAATAATTTTCACCAGCACCATAATTCAAAGGCATCAATTCTTCTGCAGTCTTCCTTATTCATGCTCCAGCTTTTGCATGCATAAGAGACAATTGAAAATACCATAGCTTGGGTCAGGCCCACCTTAGCCCTCAAGGTGACATCTTTGCTTTTTAACACTTTAAAGAGATCTTTGGCAGCAGATTTGCCCAATATAATACTTCCCTTGATTTCTTCACTGCCGCTTTCGTGGGCGATGATCGTGGATCCGAGTAATATGAAGTCCTGTACAACTTCAATATTTTCTCCATTTATCATGATGTTGCTTATTGGTCCAGTTGTGAGGAGTTTTGTTTTCTTCATGCTGAGGTGTAATCCATACCGAAGGCTGTGGTGTTTGATCTTCATCACTAAGTGCTTCAAGTCCTCTTCACTTTCAGCAAGCAAGATTGTGTTACCTGCATATCTCAGGTTGTTAATGAGTCTTCCTCCAATCCTGATGCCACGTTTTTCTTCATATAGTGCAGCTTCTCAGATTATTTGCTGAACATACAGACTGAATAAATGTGCTGAAAGGATACAATCCTGACACACACTTTTCCTGATTTTAAAACCCGCAGTAACCCCTTGTTCCGTTCAAATGACTGCCTTTTGGTCTATGTACAGGTTCCTCATGAGCACAATTAAGTGTTCTGGAATTTCCATTCTTCACAATATTATCCATAATTTGTTAAGATCCACACAGTCAAATGCCTTTGAATAGTCAATAAAACACAGGTAAACATCTTTCTGGTATTCTCTGCTTTCAGCTTAGATCCATCTGACACCAGCAACGATATTCCTCAGTCCACATCCTCTTCTGAATCCAGCTTGAATTTGTGGCAGTTCCCTGTTGGTGTACTGCTGCAACTATTTTTTAATTATTTTCAGCAAAATTTTATTTGCATGTGATAGTAATGATATTATTCAATAATATCTGAATTCTGTTGGATCACTTTTCTTTGGAAGGTCACAAATCTGGATCTCTTCCAGTCCGTTGGCCAGTAGCTGTCTTCTGAATTTTTTGGCATAGACAAGTGAGCACTTCCATTTGTTGAAACATCTCAATTGGTATTTCATCAGTTCCTGGAGCCTTATTTTTTTACCAATGACCTCAGGGCAGCTTGGACTTGTTCCTTCAGTATCATCTGTTCTTGATCATATTGCTGCCTCCTGAAGTGGCTGAACGTTGGCCGATTCTTTTTAGTCCAATGACGCTGTGTATTCTTTCCATCTTCTTTTGATGCTGTCTGTGTCGTTCAGTGTTTTGCCCATAGAATCCTTCAATATTGCAACTTGAAGCTTGAATTTTTTCTTCAGTTCTTTCATCTTGAGAAATGCCAAGCGTGTTCTTCCCTTTTGGTTTTCTAACTCCAGGTCTTTGCACATGTCATTATAATACTTTACCTTGTCTTCTTGAGCCGCCCTTTGAAATCTTCTGTTCAGCTCTTTTATTGAAATCTTCTGTTCAGCTCTTTTACCTCATCACCTCTTCCTTTTGCTTTAGCTAATCGACATTCAAGAGCAAGTTTCAGAGTATCTTCTGACATCCATTTTGGTCTTTTCTTTCTTTCCTGTCATTTTAGCGACCTTTTGCTTTCTTCATGTATGATGTCCTTGATGTCATCCTACAACTCATCTGGTCTTTGGTTATTAGTCTTCAATGCACCAAATCTATTCTTGAGATGGTCTCTAAATTCAGGTGGGATATACTCAAGGTCGTACTTTGACTCTTGTGGACTTGTTTTGATTTTCTTCAGCTTCAGCTTGAACTTGCATATGAGCAATTGATGGTCTTTCACAGACAGCCCCTGGCCTTGCTCTGCCTGATGATATTGAGCTTCTCCATCATCTCCTTCCACAGATGTAGTCGATGTGACTCCTGTGTATTCCATCCAGCGAGGTCCACATGTATAGTCGCTGTTTATGTTGTTGAAAAAAATGTACCTCCAATGAATAGGTCGTTGGTCTTGTAAAATTCTATTATTCGATCTCCAGCATTGTTTCTATCACCAACGCCATACTTTCCAACTACCGATTCTTTTTCTTTGTTTCCAACTTCTGCATTCCAAGCACCAGTAATTATCAATGCATCCTGATTGTATGTTTGATCAGTTTTAGATTGTGTGTCCGTATTGTGTGTAACTGTGTGTGTATGTGTGTGAGTTTGTGTGAATGTGTGTAACTATGTGTGTGAATTTGTGTTTATGTGTGTAACTATGTGTGTATGTGTGTTCATGGTCAGAACATAGCCCCCAAATGCAGGCTTTCCTTCCCCATGTATATGACAATGGCACATCTTCACATATGTTCACATGGCTGCTCTTGCATGTAACTGCAAGAGTACAAAATGCCCTCTGTCCTGAGAGCAGAGGCCTAGAGCTGTGCCGCTGGCTGGCTCCCAGGACCCTGCCAAGCTGCTGCTGTGGCCTCTTTGGCCCTGGGGATTCCCAGGACAGGACCAGGCCCTTAAAGGCCCCTTCACCCCTGTAGCCCCAGGCCCCACCCAGGGCCAGAGGGGCTGGGCCTAGCCAAGCTTCCAGCTGGGTATGGGAGAGGTCAGAGCCCAGGGTGTGGGCTTGGCTCCACAAGCCCTCCCATCTGCCACGGCCCATCATGGGACCAGGCTCCTGGCAGGGTCTAGCTAGTCCCCTGGTCCAGTGGAGCTCCAAGTCAAGAAGATCTTCAGCCCCAGTATGAGGCCACCATGGCACCCCATGAGCACTTGGTTGTCCACTCTGTGTGTGTGTGTGTGTGTGTGTGTGTGAAAAAGAGAGACCGAGAGAGAACTGGTGGATAAGATTCCCCTTGTTCTGTGGGTCCCAGTTTTCAAAATACTTTTTCTATTAAAGAAAGAAAAAAAAAGCAATGTACATACAACAAAACTTACGATATTTTGTCGAAGAAAATACTCAGAAAGCCATTTTCTTCTGTAAGCTTCACAACACCCAATGAAGTAGCGAGCCATGGCCTCATTTTTCAGTGGGGAAACTCGGGCCCGGAAAAGCTGGGTAGCAAACCCACGACAGAGCAGCTAGTGCACATCAGGGCCAACACCAGCCTGGCACTCACACCTTCATGGGGGTCCCTCTGTGTCCTTACCTCAGAGTAAGGACCCACAAAGGCCACTCCCACACATAGGAGAATGGTGGCAAGACACAACTGAAGCCAGCCGATATGCAGCCACCAAGCACTGGAGGCCAAGGGCCAGGGCCAAGCCAGGGCTGGGGGCAAACAGTGCAGGTACACTTCGAGCAATTCTTAAAAAATGATGCCTCAGGGCCAGAGCCCTGGGGACACTGTGGCTTCCTGTCTGCCCACCTGGACTGTGCCCAGGACTTTGGACCCCCTGAGGCATGAAGAGGCCCACAGCATCCCTGGGATGATAGTGACAGGCCAGGTCTTTGTACAGCAGCTCCTCTTTGCCACTGCCCTTAGCCCCATTCTGCCTGGGGCAGAGAC